AAATGGACAGAGTTCCTTTCAGTAGACTTGGATACAATTCCTTTTCCTTAACTAAATGAAACACCATGTGCCATTAAACTAGAAGCTCTGTCAGTGGCTGTATTTATCAAAATTATAAAATTCACATTTTGGCCATAAGTCACTTAAAAGGCTTTAAATGATAAATCAATAGCTACAGAAGTACAATCACGAATAAAGACGTTGAGTTGAATCACAATCCCTCAAATCTTTGTTTGCTTGAATTTTTTTCATCCAATTTCTTAATATTTCACACAAAGAAATAATTTCTTGTTCATTCTAATTGTAAATGCTCTTACAGAATGTTTTTAACAAGACTCATTCCTTGTATTAATGTAAAATTACATGTATTAATGAAAAGAGACTAGGACTTTTTAATTTGAATTTGTAAGTATTTTTTTAGCAGATTCATGGGATTGAAACAAACTGCAGCTCCTCCTCCCACCCACCAGAGGGCAGGCTGATGCAGTTGCTGTCTCGGCCCAGCTTCATGAGTCTGCTCTTCTTGAAGTGGCCCTTCCTCTTCTTCACGCTGGGCTTCTCCTGGTACATCTGGTGGATGATGATGTTCAGCTCTCGCTCCACGATGTCAATCTCCCTCTCAGCCAGCTCCTGCTCTCTCCTCCTCAGCTGCTCCTCCTGCTCCCTCTGTTCCTCGGCCGCTCGAGCCAACGCCTCCTCCCAGGACCTCAGCTCCTGCAGAGAGGAAGAGGAGGAGGAGAGTAGGTTGTTAGTTTACCTCCTCTAACACCTCCTCTTACACCTCCTGTTGCAATAGTCTTGTCTAATTATCAGAAAAACAAACTGTGTTAACGAAACACAGATGAGTGACAGTTTCTTTCACTACTTTTCCTGAAACCATTCAATAATGTTTTTTTTACTTTTTTTAAACTAGATACTAGGAAATAAAATCATTTAGTCTTTCTAATCAGTTTCTTTCCAACTAAACACAAAGAAAATGAAGCCATGTTGTGCTATTATTTGTTGTAATAATGGGATTTTATTACTTATCAGATAAACATAGTGAAATAAATATATACATATTTTCTATCACAAATACATAATATGCATGTACCAGGGTAAATGTACTTCATCCACTGCTCATCTGAAGTCCACATATTCATGCATTTTCCAGAACAACCCGGCTGCAGAGGTCTGAGCTGGTCCTGGAGCAGCATGGATCTGTGTTTTCACATCTCTCACCTTCTCTTTGGCTCGGAGCTCGTCGAACATCTCCTGGATCTCCAGCCTCCAGTCTTCTTGTAAGGAGTGGAACGACTCCAGAGGCATCTGGAACATGGCCGACTGCTCGATGGCCAGCAGCCGCCTCAGGATGCTGGTGAACGACGGCCTGCTGTGGGGGTTGGGGCTCCAGCATTCTGATGGAGGGAAAGACGCAAGTATTAGTTTCTGATGGGAGGACAAGGGATTTCAGGGAATAGTATAATTTATGATGACATTTATTTTGATTATCAAACATTTGCTAAATATATCAATTGATGGTGTATCTCTCACAGTTTTCTTCTTCTTTTTCTTTTCAAACCAAATAATGTTAAATCAAAACATTTTAAGCAAATCCTCACATTTATCAATGAAGGCAAGAATTATTTGAGTAATTTTGCTTTAAAATGACAATCACAAGATTAATAGCTGCCGATCATCAATATAATACAAACGGAACTGAATCATGGTCTTTTCTTATTTCTTTGCTGGTTGGAGAGAAGGCAACAGAAGAAGTGGCGGGGAGCAAGATGGGACAGCATATGGCCGCCATCATGAGCCAAACCCTGACTGACAGTGTTAGAGAAACACACCTATAATAATCTGCTGTGCCTCAGACTGATCAGTGCCATCTCTCCAACACTGAACCACAGAGGAAAACAGGGAGAGAGAGAATCATCGGAGTCGTTTCACAGACTAAAAACATCTTTCAAAGCAGGTAACATTCCTTTACGAGGGCAGATACATTAGCATAAAGAGCACGAGGATAAAGTTGGAGGGGGCTGAGATGAAAGTGAGATGATGACAGGAGTAAACACAGAGTGTAGGGAGCAGCGAGGGATGACAAAGGAGAGATTAACGGATGAACATGGATCAGATGAAGTGGAGTGAGGGAGGAGGAAAAGAGGACACAACTCCCTCACTAATTTTTTAAGTAGACGTAAAACTTAATTGTGCAGATTAACCGCTCTCATAAAGAAGAAGTTAGGAATAAGCATATTTGCGGAATATGAATAAAAGGCCAGTGTGTCTTTAAACAGAGATGACCCCGACTGTGAAACACAAGCCTCCACTGTTAACGCAGCGCTGCCAGGATCATTTGCAAGGTGAAAAGAAAAAATCCAGCCCAAGGGACATGAGACGCAGCTCCACACAAGGATGTATTAAAAGCAACTTCATGAATCTTAATCCATTTTTACTTAGTTTTAAATTCAGCCACTGTGACCTTGAACTAGAATCACGACCCTGGGATTGTAGGCCTCCGCCAGCAGCAGTTTCAGTTACATATATTTTTTTCCACACTAATTTGTGATCATCGTGACCTTTGACCACAAAAATCAAATTACCTAAACCTGATCAAAATGCCCTAAAGACAGACTCGATATATAGTGTTCATGTTTTTGAGGCCACTGTGACATTGACCTTTGATCTTTGACCACCTAAATCAAATTACTTTATCTGTGAGTCTAAGTGAACGTGGAGGGGAACACTAACAGGGCCTCATCAGTGGATTTCAATATCTTCAGTGTTTGAGGTATTCTTGGATTACATCATCTCTCATCAGGTTGAGGTGGGCGTCTGCTCACCTCCCAGCAGCTGAGCAAAAGGCTCAGGGCAGGTCGAAGGGATTGGAAGCGTTAACTTGTTCATGGCGACACCGTAAGCTACGGCCAGTGCATCTATCTCCCGGTACGGAACCTCGCCGGTCAGCAGCTCCCAGAGTAACACGCCAAAACTAAGAGAGGAGACAAAGTGTGGAAATGAATCTCATGCTCATTCACTCACTGTCACATGACTCTCCTCTGACAATCTGGAAGGAAGTCTGTCACTGTGAAAATCAGGGGAATGAGGTGACACACGGACTCGAGTGCTGTACCTCCACACGTCGCTGCTCTTGGAGAAGAGGGAGAGCTTGATGACCTCCGGTGCCATCCAGGCGTACGTCCCCGCTGCGCTCATCTTGGTGGTCTGGTGCCACTCTCTGGCCAGACCGAAGTCTGTGATCTTCAGGGTTTTCCCGTTCAGGTCATCCCGAGCCACCGGCTCCAGAATGAGGACTGAAGAGGAGGAGGAGGAGGAGGAGGAGGAAGAATAAAGAACAGTTAAAAGAAGAACTTGTACACACAGTTTCTTTCAGAAAGGAAAACACAAAATACAAACATCCCAACAATAACAACTTCTTTGTCTTTGAAATGTGTGGAAAGAGACGTCACACACTCGAAGGACACAAAATATTCACAGAACACAAAGAAAGATCCATAAAGTATGAGACAATTCATCTTGTTCCGAACTAAATTACCAAACATTTACTGGCTCTCATTTCACAAATGTGAATATCTGCTGCTTCAAATAGTTTCTTTATGATAGTGAATTGAATATCTTTGATTTTTTAAATGTTACTTGAAGAAAATAGGAAATAAAGACTTCAGTAGGAGCTTTGGGTGATTCTGAGTGAGTGAGTGTGACTCTTCACTATTTGGTTGGTGTTTTAGTAAAATTAAAAAAATATATAAAAAATTGGCCTTGCGATCCACCAGGTCTGTACTATCATATGATAAGCTCTGTACATGTATAAGGAAGAGGATGTATTAGTATGTGAGCAAGATTTTAATAAACTATTTATTTGTTACTAACATATCTTTTTTTCCCCTGAAAACAACTTGAATTCAATAACTTAACAAAAAAAACCAAATAAACAGTGAAGATGTAGAATAACAGTGGTGTTTACTATACAGGTGTGGTCAGACCAGTGTGCTTCAGGTTTCTGCTGCGAGGTGAAACTACTGCGTCTCCTCTGGGGACAGTCTGAACACTGTGAGTCTGAATAAAATCATTTACATACAGCGACAGTCACTTCAGTGTATTCTTGTTAATGTTACTCTTTCACCTCCTTCATCCCTCCATCTCTCTCTCTCTCTCTCTCTCTCCCTCTCTTCCATGTGCAATGTCCAACTTCCTCCTTCACTTCCGTGTGAGAGCTGGCTATGGAAATATTTATAGTGTACACAGCTCACACTGGGAGCAAGGTGGGGGCTGATGTCTCTCTGCCTCTCTCTCTCTCTTATCTACAAGCATATGCAAAGAGTGGTGGAGAGAGGCTGCACACACAGCAGTGTCTGTTTACACACACACACATACACACATGTTCATGTGATGAAGGTGTGCCTCTCTGTGCTCGTCTCCATCCACAAACTCACCAGCAGAGCAGTTTCAGTGATGAGGGAGATAAAGTCAGGAAGTAGTGACACTGTATAAGTAACTTTTCTGTCGTAAAAGTACCAATACCACACCATAAAAGTAATCTATTACAAGTAAAGTTAATACATATGAGAAAGTCTCCTCTGAGCTACATTAAAACAGATTATATTGTATATTATTACAAACATAACATGAGAGAAGTTTTTGGACTTATGTGGCCTCTTTAAGTAGTTGGATTTTAACTACTTTATATTTCATTTCAGTTCATTTGTTGATTATTCATTTCATTGATTGCCAAGTATCTAATATTGTTTCAGTCATTCTTTTGGCAAAACCTTCTTCAGGGGCTTTTTCTCAAAAATATCTGCTGTTTTGTTTGTCGGGAAATCTTTTAGTTCTAATTTTGTTTTTACAATTGTGATATTAGTACTTTTGCTTTAAAAGTCGAAGTAAAAAACTTGGCAGACATACTGCATCACCTTGGCTTCGTTTTATTTATTTATTTAGTTTTATTTAGTTATTAGAAAAAATAACCTGCAGATCACTTGATAATAATAATAAATATATAGTAAGTGGAGCAACAAATATTCACTGATTCTATCTCAAATGTGAATAAATCTTAGACGTCTGTTAGAGTTTTATCATGTTAACATCTCTTAGAAATGATCTAATTTTCTCTATTTTTCAGGTTACAGGCCAATCAATTAATTGAAATCGAGAAAATAGTGGATTAAATGATAAGGAAATGATTTCCTACAGCCTGAGCTTCTACTGCTGAGCCGTAGCCATTAGTCTGATGTGTCTAGTGGCTCTACTAACTGTATTTTACTTAAATATCATGAGGTAGAAGAATAAAGAGGCATAAAAAGGGATTGTTGAAGTGAAGGACTCTCTTAATGAGTTGTACTAGAGGACAGTAACATGTTTTCCACCTCTAAGTTTAGGTCGTGTGCTTCATGTCTCATCTGCAGACAAGGAATAAGTGCGGGCTGCTGACAGTGATAATAAGCCGCGGCCATCGCCCAACCTACGTTTCTATTCTGATAGTGTGAGTGACAGCTGTCTCCTCAGGGCGCGTGTGTGTGTGTGTGTGTGTGTGTGTGTGTGTGAGAAGATGGAAGCAGGTAGACTTAGAGAAGGCGAGGGATGTGGATGTGTTTGCATGCACAGACGGGTGTGTCGTTCTCACAGTCAAACCTTCCCAGGTGTGTTTTTGTTTGAGAGGCTGATGACAGAGCAGCGAGGGAAAACCGAAACTGAATGGAGGATGAAGCTGCGTTTCCACAAACTAAACCTGTGGGCGAAGCAGCGTTTCCACCTGCTCCCTCTTTCCCAATGCAATTAGAACATCCCGTGTTACTTTCACACCTTGAAGAACGTCTCCGTGTTGCTTCTTAACACCTCGTTCCTGCCACAGGTTCATCACAACCGTTGGCCTTTCATCCATATGTCAAACACAAAAAAAAATCTACATGTTTGCGTTCAGCTGGCAGCACAGAAACTTGCACTGCGGCGAAACACAAACAACGCCCACGAGGGTGTGGGAAGCATCACAGCATATTTCATCAGAGTGAAGGGAAACAAACTGTCCTGAAGGATAAAGTGGCTTTTACACAGTGCAGTGGCAGCGCTGTTATCTGAAAATAGAGTCTATGAAAGAGAAACACTCCCTGGTTACTACAAAGTCTCCCATAGCAACATGCTTCATGGGAAACATTACTCACAGGCGGGGATGTGTGATTAATTAATCACACAGCTTAATTATTATAAGCATACTGTGAGAGTTTGATTAGTGATCCTGTAAAATGTCTCTGTTCCAGTTTGTATTTGTGCCGGAACCATGTGTGTTTGTCTGTCCTGCCATGATCCCTTAATGTTCACAGCTGAGACATTATATGATCGATAACCAGAGATATTATTACCCAGAGAGCCACAGAATGAATTAATGGATTAACATGTTTACAGCTACAGAAGCAGCTCTGTGAGGTTGTGATGCTCAAAATGGCATAAGATGGATAAAAACTGTGGTCAAAAATCCTTCTATCCATCCATTTATTTGTTTGTAGCACTTATTCTTTGAGGATGGCAGTGGGCTGGAGCTCATCCCAGCTGACATTGGGCTGACACCAAGCAATTTAGAGTCTCCAATTAAACCATCTGCATGTATGTGGACAAAAACCCACACAGCCACTGGGACTGTGTGGGTTTTAACTCCACACAGAAAGACCCCAACCATTCAAAGCCAGACTCCTCTTATGAGGAGACAGTGCAGACCGCTGCAACACCATGCCGACCCTCTCTCGGTTATAAAGCCAACATATTGATGTTAAACAGCTATAATGTTTGACTTACTATTTACTTATAAGCAATAAATACAAAGTACAGATAAGACCTTTTATTTGCTTTGCAAGTTTTGGACAAATTGAAATCTTAATCTCATGGTGGGCTGGATGAAAAATGAGGGGATCACCAAAGCTATCAAGTCTGGTGACCATGACCATGCTTGTATATAATTCAATTTTATTACAATTATACTATCCATTATTACAACTATACTATCCAAAGATAGTTAGTTGGTAGTGAAAAGACCCTTGCTGTTGATTAGATGCTCGCGGCAGAGCCGACAGGACGGCGAGAGGCAGGAACAGCCCGATCTGTCTTACAAATGTAAGAACAAGAAGAGCAGAGCATCACAGCACAAACTGAGGCATGCAAGATTATTTCTACATTGAAAGTGTCAAATAATAAGTTAGATCTATTGTGGGGCTTTTCACCGGCCGACATTGTTGTTTTTGTACATCATAAACCTGCGACTCTGATGTTATTATGGGCACAAAAGAGCTCATAGTTTTTATTCCTTTATATAGAGGACTCTTAATAGTCAAGTAGGGGTTAGTAAATGAGTGTGTGATGTCAGACACAGCCAAAGAAACCAGTCCAGCAGCATTTCCTGAGAATCATGTGAGCCAGTGTGGATTTAACCTTTAACCGCCCACTGTTCATTCCTCAATTCTTGGACCTTGACCACAGCAGAGTCACTCTTCAAACACTGATAAACAAGTGATCGGGTAAGAGAGGCTTTAACTTCACTAATGATCCTCCACAGAGCATTAAACACGGGTGACACATTAACCTACAGTCGGCTCAGAGGAATTCAGGTCTTCATAGTGTTTCTGTCTGAGCCACATACTTGATTGTATATGACACCAGAAACAAGCAGTGTCACATGTTTGTCACAGAAACAGGGAGGCAAGAGAACATACAGTACAGAGCTGCGTCAGCACTTATGAACGATTAGCAATAGTTCAACATGACAACAATAAAGTCTGAGGTGGAGCTGGGTGGTGACTGCAATGTAAGCACCAATTAAATAGAGCAGGAACTCAAAGGATACTCAGAGAGTACATACCTCTGCCAAGGCTTACGCCCACTCTCCACATGTTCAAGAAAGGGGATCCACTTAAAAATGGAATGGGCTCATTCCTTGGGTCATGACCCAACCCTCTACAAAATTCAATGGAAATCAGTTCAGTATCTTTAAATGATCCAGTTGACAACTGGAATTGACTTTTGTTGCATCTCTGTGTTTCCCTTCTTTAAATAAAGCTTAAAATACAGGAAAATACATTGAAAATATTACGCATAATATGCAGTTTACTGAATGAAAATGTAGTCTGATGCCTTTTATTCTAATCTTTAACCATTTTTTAAGCAGTCTTTACGGGAAAGAAGTCAAAATAACTTTATAACACACTGTAAATGACCAGACAGAATAGTAAAGAAACACTGAGCCACAGTTTGTTGTTTTCATAAAACTAGTAGTTGTAGACTGATCAAATAAAAGAAAAACTGTTTATGA